CGGGCCGGGCCGGGCCGGGCCGGGGCGGAGGGTGGGGGCGGAGGGGATGCGCTGGGGTGAGGACTTTCGGTGGGCGGGATGAAGTGCTTGATCCTCTGCCTAGGCCCCTGTCCTCACAGCCATTCCTTGCCCTCGCTGGCGGCCTGGGGAAGGAAGGGTGACGCAGGAGGGGAGAACGTGCGCGACCCCCCGCTCCTGCCCTAGGCTGGGGTGTCTCCTGTCCACGCGGGTCAGGACCGGGCTCTAGCCTTCTGTGTGGCCCGATGAGCTCATCTCCCCACCCCCAGCTAGCGGTTACTGGGCTCGTCGTTAACGACAGCCTCTGTGTCCCCAACACAACCGCACCACCCACGCTCTCTCTCCTTGTCTTCTCCCCAGGTGATGCTAACGAGGAGGATCACCCCCAAGTCTGTGCCAAGTGCTGTGCACAGTTCACTGACCCAGCTGAATTCCTCGCCCACCAGAACGCATGTTCTACTGACCCTCCTGTAATGGTGATCATCGGGGGCCAGGAGAACCCCAACAACTCTTCAGCCTCTTCTGAGCCGCGGCCTGAGGGTCACAATAGTCCCCAGGTCATGGACACAGAGCACAGCAACCCCACAGAGTCCGGGTCTTCCGTGCCCACAGATCCCACCTGGGGCCCAGAGCGGAGAGGAGAGGAGTCTTCTGGGCATTTCCTGGTCGCTGCCACAGGTACAGCGGCTGCGGGAGGCGGGGGCCTGATCTTGGCCAGTCCCAAGCTGGGAGCAACCCCGTTACCTCCAGAATCCACCCCTGCACCCCCTCCTCCTCCACCTCCCCCTCCGCCCCCGGGTGTAAGCGGTGGCCACTTGAATATCCCCCTGATCTTGGAAGAGCTACGGGTGTTGCAGCAGCGGCAGATCCATCAGATGCAGATGACTGAGCAAATCTGCAGGCAGGTACTGCTGCTTGGCTCCCTAGGCCAGACGGTGGGTGCCCCTGCCAGCCCCTCAGAGCTACCGGGGGCAGGGACTGCCTCTTCCACCAAGCCCCTGCTGCCCCTCTTCAGCCCCATCAAGCCTGTCCAAACCGGCAAGACACTGGCATCTTCTTCCTCCTCCTCCTCCTCCTCCTCCTCTTCCTCCACAGGGGCAGAAACGCCCAAGCAAGCTTTCTTCCACCTTTATCACCCGCTGGGGTCACAGCATCCTTTCTCTGCTGGAGGGGTTGGGCGAAGCCACAAACCGACCCCTGCCCCCTCCCCAGCCCTGCCAGGCAGCACAGATCAGCTGATTGCCTCGCCTCATCTGGCATTCCCAAGTACCACAGGACTACTGGCAGCACAGTGTCTTGGGGCAGCCCGAGGCCTTGAGGCGGCTGCCTCCCCAGGGCTCCTGAAGC